TTGAAGGGAGGAAGAGCTTGTAAATGCTTTATGAATGTGAATCTATTTTTTTCCAGCTTGGAGAAAAGACACTTTTGAGTTTTGGATTATGTAACAATTACACTAAATGTGTACTAAAATGTGTGTCAGAAGCAATGGGAACACCAATTGCTTCAGGCTTTCCTTGACTGCTCAGCAACTATTACTTCAGAAATCTAAAGTGTTCTGAGCATGCCAATTTCCTTCTCTTGGGAAACATTGAGGATTTCTGCTTACACTTTGATAGATTAGCTCCTACCGTGCTTCTGTCATGGTTAGGATATGAAATTGCCCCTTCCTTAACAGGCTTATGTATTTGAAAACCTGGTCCCCAACTGACGGTACTATTTTGCAGGTTAGAGACCTTAGGGACGTAAGGTTTGGCTGGCACGTAGATGTAGGGCCCGACAGTGATTCCCATCCTGTTTCCTGCTTCCTGATTGGCTATCATGTTGTAACCAGCTGCCACGTGCTCCTGCCACCATGGAGCCACTCCATCATGCCCTCTCTACTATAAGCCAAAATAAATCCTTCCTCCCATAAATTATGTATGTCAGGTATTTTGTTACATTCTTTTAAAAAGTAACTAATATCCTTTCCACTGACAAAATAGCCAGGCAAATCCAATCATTGGTTTACAGATAATGAAGAAGAAGCCAGCCCAGCCCCTGATCTCTGAAAGGAAGCAAACCAGTGAGGACAGTGCTGTGAGGGCCTGGCTTTCTGACTTAAAGCACTAAGCAGACTGTAACCTGTGGGTAACCAAAGAGAGTGGGTCTGCCCAGCTGAAGATACAGAGGATGTCATTCATGGAGGGTGAAGATGCTGCTGAAGGTTCTATGGCACATCACTAGAGAGAAAGGACCTACTTGAAGACAGAGTAGAAAGAAAATCTGCATAGGGGTGGGGTTGGGGAGATAGCTCAGTGGAGAAAGTGCTTGCAGCAAAACAGTGAGGACCTGAGTTTATATCATAATATTCCTGTAAAATTGGGCAAGGCGGCACGTGCCTTAACCCTAGTGCTCCCTAGGCGGGGAGGTGAAGACAGGATCTTGATGGGCTGGCCCATCAATCAGTCTTGCCAAAACAAAAAACTTCAGGCTCAGGGAGAAACCCAAGTCAATAAATAAGATGGAAAACCTGAAGTCAACCTCTGAGCTCCACATGCCCACACTCAAGTGAGTGCACATGCATACATATACCACACACAGAAGTGAGGGAGGAAGAGGAAGAGGAGAAGGGGGGAGGAGCAGGGGGAGGAGAGGAGGAAGAGGAGGAGGAGGAGGGGAGGAGGAGGAGAGGAGGAGGAAGGAGGAGGAGGAGGCCGCGTCGCCGCCGCTTGGAGCCCGGCCGGAGCCTCCCAGGCAGGTGCCCAGGGCGGCGAGGGGGCGGGGGGCTGACAGACCGACTGCCCCAGCGAGGGGGCGGCCAGGACCGCAGCTGCACCTTCTGCCCACTGGTGCACCCCGCGGACACCAGCTGGAAGGACAAGAGGGGTGGGGGCCCCTAAACTACGCGGTAGCCATTTGGGGTAACTGTCTCCATTTGGGGGTCCTGGACTTCGTTCGAGGATGCCCCATTCACAAAATTCCGTTGTGGACCCTCGCCATTGAGGAATTCTGAGGATCTTTCTCCCCGGGAAAATAAATGTGTGGGGACGTAGGACACCCCGAGATCCCAGTGCCCCATTCCAGCTAGGCCCTTGAGGGGGACCCCTGCCCTCTTTCCCTGCTTCACCTGTTGTCGGGGGAGGCGGGCGGACAAAGAAAGCAGCGTCACGTGACTTCTCATTCACAAAATCCCATCCCATTGAGAAAAGGGGGCTGGGGGCGCTGTGGCCGCCCCTTCCCCTCCCGAAGGGCTGGGGAAACCCAGCCGCCTGCAGGTGGGGGAGGGGGCTAGAGCTTGTTGCCGGGGTCCCTTAGGTTGGGCGCCAGGGTCCCTCAGCTGGGGGGCAGTGGGGCTGAATTCTGATGACTAGGCGGAGGGCTACAGTCCCTGAGCTGGGGGCGGGGTAAAATGTTTCTGAAGGATGCTTGGGGGGGTGCGGGGAGGGAACAGTACCCCCCCACACACACACACACAACTCTCCCCTTTGGCTTCCCTCGATGGAGACCAAAGGGAGCAGCCCTGATTTTTGTGAATGAAGTGCTCCTTGGCTCTCTCGCTTCGGTCGTCGGTTACTGGCTTCCTCTGCCTCCATCTCTTTCTCGGCCTCTCTTTCTGGCCATTTCTGGTTCTCTCCCTGCTCCCTGCCCATCTCCCCGTTGCTGGGTGACTCAGTGAGCTTTGCATCCGGTCTCATTCATAAATCCGGGAAGGGGTGGGGGGAAGAGAGCCAGGGTTTCTCACCTAGCTAGTGGCCTGGGTGAAAGGGGGTGCTGAGGCAATGTTGAGGAGACTGGAGCTGAGTTGATGGGCCCAGAGAAAATACATATGCGCAGGAACCCAGCTGTGAGGGGGACAATGGGTGGGGCTGTGGGTTTGTGCTGAGAGGGAAGGAGGGCTGAGTTGAGGGGATAAGCAGGGGGTGGGGAGGGGAAGTGGCAAACCTAGACTGCGGGGATGGGGTTGGGGGAAGATGCAGAAAAGGTGGGTATTGTGAGAAAAGGTAGATGCGGGGAAGGTAAGGTGGGAGAGATGTCACTAAGAAAGAAGCCATGCTGAAGAAACTGGGCAGTGGGTGGGAGGTGGTGGATATTAGTGGCTTGAGGGTGAGGTAAATCCCTATGTAAGATAGAGAGGAGAGGAGGGTTGGGGACTAATTCAGGGAGGAGCAGGAATTGCGTTCATGGCCTGTGTTGTCCTTGTCCCCCCCTCCACCTCCTCCAGGTACATGGTGCGGGTCCGAGCCGTGGTGATGGCCCGAGATGACTCCAGTGGGGGCTGGCTGCCTGTGGGGGGCGGGGGCCTCAGCCAGGTGAGCGTTTGTCGGGTCCGAGGGGCCAGACCCGAGGGGGGGACCCGCCAGGGGCACTACGTCATCCACGGGGAGCGCCTACGGGACCAGAAAGTGAGCCACCCTGGGGTGTGGGGGTGGGATGGGATCCTGGGAGGCAGGGATGGGGCTGGGGAGGGGGGGACAAGGAAAAGGGGGACAAGGAGAGGTCAAGCTGTCCCTCCATCCCTAGGGGATGTGGGATGGAGTTTGGAAATTAATATCTGGATTATGGAAAAGGGAATTTGTGGGCTATTTGAGGGTATTAGGGAGGTCCCATCCACTGCTTCTCTGGCTAATCTGTCACAGCAACCCCTTACTGGTCTCCCTGCTGGGTTCCTGCTCCTTCTCCAACCCTGGTCTGTTCCACAAGGGCCCTGCTCACACCCAACTCATATCATGCCCCTTTTCTGCTCAGTACTCTCCTCTGGCTCCATCTTGCTCAAAGATGCTCACCAGGATGCCCTCCACCAACTGGCCCATGTCTGCCCTAAGTATCTGGAGGCATTTATGGGGGTCTGTTTGAAAGTGTCACATACAACTGATAATTCTATGTCACATGTTTATAATCCCAGCCCTGGGACAGTGAGGCAGGAGGATGGGAGGCGGAGGCAGGAGGATTATGAGTTGGAGGCCAGCCTGTGCTACATAGTGAGACCTTATTTCAAGAGAAAAGCAAAGCTTGGGGAAAAGGTGGCATTTCCAGAGCAGGGGATTTGGAATGGTGTGGAAGAAGTGGGGATATTAGACAAGGACATAGAGGGAACATCTAGGGAGGGGGTTGGCTAGATTGAGGGGGGATGTGTAGAAGTTTAGTATCTTCCTAGGTAAATTTTCAGAAAATGATTGAGGCATCAAAAGGAAATTGACTGTAGGATTTGATATGTTCAGTAAAGTGTGACAAAGACTTATTCTTCAGTCAGAAGGGGTTAATTTTTTAAATGTTTAATAAGATTTGAGGTTCCTGTTGGGGCATCAGAGGAAGCAATTAGGTAAATACAGAAATCAAAAGATTGAAGGAATATTGGGGTCTCAGAAGTATGTCCTCTAAAATTGGGGTATGTTAGGGTGTGTTTCAGGAATCAGTACACCTGGGATTGGAAATGAGGTTGATTGATCCTGGAGAAGGGCTGGGGGTCAGGAGAGAGTCACAGGTATGGCTAGAGTTGTCTGACCTGCCCCCTCCTACCCCTCAGACCACTTTGGAGTGTACCCTGAGACCAGGCTTGGTTTACAACAAAGTGAACCCTATCTTCCACCACTGGAGCCTAGGCGACTGCAAGTTTGGGCTGACATTTCAGAGTCCTGCAGAAGCTGATGAGTTCCAGAAGAGTCTGCTGGCTGCGCTGGCCGCACTCAGCCGTGGTGAGTGGTGCAGGTGCAGGGACCCAGGCTGTGAGGGTAGGTGTAGGAAAAGCTGGGGCCTAGAGACTCACTTCTGCCTCTTTCCCTGCTCCAGGCTCGCTCACCCCCTCCTCTTCCTCTTCCTCCTCCTCTCCTTCCCAGGACACTGCAGAGACACCCTGCCCTCTGACGGTGAGTCTTGGGGCCCCTCTCCTATGGAAGGCAAGGGATTGGTGCTAGTCTACAAATATTTCTGAATACCTGTTGTGTAGCAGGCACCAGGCTACATGCTAAGGACACAAAATCTGGTCAAAACTGATAATGACTATTCTATCCTGGTTATTCTAATTTTTCTGTATTTATTTATCTATCTATCAATCAATCCATCTGTTTTTGAGACAGGGTCTCACGTAGCCCAGGCCAGCCTTGAACTTGATATATAGCTGAAGATGACCTTGAATTTAGGTCCTCCTGCCTCTCCCTCTCAAGTGCTAGGATTATAGGTATATGTCACCATGCCTGACTTTATTTTCTTGCCTTTTTTTTTTTCCTTTTTTTGAGGCAGGGTCTCACTGTGCAGCTTAGGCTAGCCTGTAGCTTTCCATCCTCTTCCGTGGTGGGATTACTGTATTTTACCATCATACCCCACTTAGTTTTTCTGTTCTGTAGTGATTCATGCATTTGTTCAAGGGTATGTACCAAGCACCTTCTGTGTACCAGACAGTGTTTTAGGCACTGGGGATACATCAGTAAGCAAAACAAATTTCCTTTATCCGTAGAGCTTTAGTTCAGTGGAGAAGGCAGGAAAAAAAAAAAAGATAAAATATAAAAATGAATAAAGCTGGGTGTGGTGGCACATGCCTTTAGTCCCAGCACTCTGGAGGCAGAGGCAGGCCAGTCTCTGTTGAGTCAAGACCAGCCTGGTCTACATAGTGAATTCCAGGTCAGCTAGGGCTACAGGGAGACTCTGCCTCAGAAAGACTCCCCTCCCAAAATATATATAAATGAATAAATATTTAAAGTATATGGATGAACAAATGCATTGATAAGTCCATGTTTCAGTTGTTGCTCAGGCTGTAGACTTGCAAACCTTGGAGTTGTCCTTGATTGACAGAACCTCCCCCCCTTTTTTTGAGACAAGATCTTACTACATAGCACAGGCTGTGTGACCCAGGAACCAGATGGTATGGGATCTTAGATGTCATTGTAAGGGCTATATTTTCAAATTGTAAGTGTAGTTTCCCCTGGAGGCCAGAGGCATCAGATCTCTCTGGAACTAGAGTTACAGCCATTGTGAATCACCCAGTGTGGATGCTGGGAATTGAACTTGGGTCCTCTGCAAGAGCAATGCACATTTTTAGCCACTGAGCCATCTCTCCAGCCTCTATTGTACCCTTTACCTTGCACGACAGAGCACAGAGGGCTCTGAGTGAGGGAATACAGTCACTTTGGCTATGTGGGAGGAACTGATGATAGGAGCCAGGAGAGAGGTGATAGAAGCTGTGGTGATAGTTCAGTTAGGAGATGAGGTTGGCCTAGAACCCACGATCCTCCCACCTCAGCCTCCCAAGTGTGGAGCTTCATGTGTACACCACCACGCCTGGCTAGCTCTTTTTGTTTTTCATGCTTCTCATTGAATTTGTCACAAATATTGATTCCACTTTCTTTTCTTTTTTTTCTTTTTTTTGAAACTGGGTCTCACTATGTAGCTTTGGCTAGCCTGGAACTCACTGTGTAAACAAGGCTGGCCTGGAACTCATAGAGATATACCTGCCTCTGTCTCCAAAGTGCTGGGATTAAAGGTGTGTGTTACCACACCTGGCCTTTCTTTTTTTTTCAGTGCTGGGACTCAAACCCAGGGTCCCACACATGCTAGGCAAGTACTCTACTACTGAGCTACAGCCCCAGCTCAGATTCTTCTTTGAAAATGATTAGAACCGGCTACCTTCCTGGTAACTGTCCAACCTCATCTCCCAACTGAATCATCTCCACAGCTTCTCCTTGACCCCCTCTCTCCTGACTCCTAACTCGAGTTTCCTATACATAGCAGAGGGCTCCTATTGATGATGGCTGAGTCAGATCAGGCCCTTTTCCTGCACTCAGAACTTTCCCAAGGCTCCATCACTCAAGGTAAAGAACAAAGTCTTATCATGACACATAGGATTCTGTGGTCTCTGGCCCTGGGGTTCTCTTCCCCTTCACCCTGCTCCAGCCCCAACTGAACTGAAGTCCCCACTCTTATCCCAATACTGTTGACATTCCTGTCCTGGGACGCTCGCATTGACTACACCTTCAGATTGCCACATGACTGATTCTCTTCTTTTCGAAGTTTTGAAGTTTTATACTTCTTCTTAGTGACTTCATTGAGCAAGTGAAAAGTGGAAAGTGAAATTGCATTCTTGAGCTAGGGATGTGGCTCAGGTAATGGAATGCTTGTCTAGTGTATGTATAAAGCTGTGGCTTAGAGCCCCATCATACATCTGCAATCCCAGCATTTGGGAGGTGAAGGCAGAAGGGTCTTTGAGGTCATTCTAGGGCTACACAGCAAGCTTGAGGCCAGCCCAGGATACATGAACGTCTGTCTCAAAAAAAAAAAAAGAAAAAGGAAAAAAAGAAAAAAAAATTGCAATCTCTCACTATCCCTTTTCTGGTTTTAATTGCCCTCCACATTCCAAGATGTTTTCCTTTCTGAAAAGATAGTTTTCTTATCTGTTAGCTTAGTGTCCATCTTCTATGCTAGCATGTCAGTTTCCAGAGGGCAAGTATCTTTTACTGGTTCCTTGCTTCACCTCCAGTTCCTAAAACATTGCCTGGCACCTAGTAAGTGCTCAGTAAATGGCTTGAATAAATTGAAAATAAATGAGGCACATAATGTCTGGATGCATTTTGCCTCAGAAAAGTTGTGAGGACACAACAAACAACCAAACTAGTTCCTTGGGCAGAAAAGGAGAGAATCTCCAGGTCATGGGGCATGAGGTTGGCATGAGAAACTACAGACAGTTTCTGTCTATGGAACTGCTACTCAAAGCTGAACCCTGCAGTGGCTTTTGTGTCTGGTACACTGTGGTGCTCAGTGAATGTAGACTGAAGGTAGTGAACAAATGAGGTGGGAATTATGTCCAAGTTACAGAAAGGGAGCAGAGGGTCTGGTCTGAGAGGTTATGCTTTAGCTAGTAAAGTACAGAGCCTGGTTTGGATGTAGGGTGTCTGAGTGTGGGGAAATGCTCCATTGAGGTAGAGTGGTGAGAATGAGGCAGGAAGGTGCTGCTATCCAAGGGAAAGGGCTTCCAAGAAGTGAGAGGATGGTTTGATGACCTGCCGGTTTTTTTTGGTTTTTTTTTTTGGTCTTTTTGAGAAAGTGTCTCCCTGTAGCCCCAGCTATCCTGGAACTCACTATGTAGACCAGGCTGGCCTTGAACTCACAGAGATCCACCTGCCTCTGCCTCCCAAGTTTTTTTTAAAATTAATACATTTTTATTTTATGTGTATGAGTGTTATGCCTGCATGTGTATAAGTGTACCCCTATGGTACAGTGCCCTCAGAGAGAGTCAGATACCCTAGAACTGGAGTTACACGTGGTTGTTAGCCACCATGTGGGTGCTGGGATTCAAACCCAGGTCTTCTGTAAGAACAACCAGTGCTCTTAACCACTGAGCCATCTCTGCAGCCACCTTTGTTTTTTTGAGCAGGGTTTCCCTGTAGCCCCAGCTGGCTTGGAACTTGCTATGTAGATCAGGCTGGCCTCAAACTCATAGAAATGCCCCTGCCTCTGCCTCCTGAGTGCTATGACTAAAGGCCTGTACCACCTCCCATGGCAATCCCAGCTACTCTTGAGAGAAGGCACTCTGAGTTTGAGGCCAGTTTAGGTTAAGTGAGACTCCTCAAAAAACCAGATATGACTCAGCAGTAGATGGTAGGCATAGAATCCACCAGTGAGGGGCTAATGGAGAGACTCAGTGGCAGGGTGCTTGCCTAGAATCCACCAGCAAGGGTCTGGGAGATGAGGCTGGGGGTGGAGCTGTTACCTGGAATCCACCAGTAAGGGATGGTGGTATGACTCAGTAGCAGAGCCCTGAGTACTTCAGGAAGGTGTTGTGCCCTTGACAGTGACCTAACTACATCATTATGAATAGGTACAATGCTGACCCTCATTTTACAGAGAAGGACACTAAGGCTCAGAGGTGAGCTCACTTGTGGCTGGTCCCCACAGCCAATCAGTGGCAGAGCGAGGGTTTGAATACAGAGCCATTGCTCTAAGTGGGTGGGAGGTCTATGTGGAAGGGGGAACTCCCTGCCCTGAGGCTTCCAATGTCCCCCAGTCCCACGTGGACAGCGACTCCTCCTCCAGTCACAGCCGCCAGGAGACGCCTCCCACCTCGGCTGCGGCTCCTATTGTCACCGTGGAGTCAGCTTCCCTCTTCACCTCGGCCTCTCCGCCCCAGCGCCGCCGCTCCTCGGCTCAGGTACGACCTCCGCCCCCCAGCGGTAGTTTGGGTAGAAAAGGGCAGCCCTAGAGACCCTAAGCAGTGTGAAGCTGAAGCACAGAAAGGACACAGATCCCAAGAAATGGCTGACCTCACTACTGAGCTGCGTGGGGTGGTGGAATAGGAAGAGGCTGAGGCTAGGGATGTAGCTCAGTAGTAGAGCGCTTGCCTAGTATATGGAAAGTGCCGGATTCCCAGGCCTGGGCTCCTGAGGGCTGGGTGCCAGCTTCCATAATCTCTAGCTCTCTTGGAGATTTGAGGGCCGTCTAATTTTATGCTGGGGGATGACATGGAGAGATGTTTGAGTATGTCAGACGATGACTACCAGGTCATGAGAGGACTCCTTAAGACTGCTTCTTTTATACTGGCTGGGGATGCGGACCACCGTACCTTGAAAGTGGCAGAACTGGGAAGCTTTAAGCCACCAGGTCCTGAAGGGGTATGCATTCCTCTGCGAGCTGAGGGGACTTGGGATTCAAATAGGCCTGGGGTCTTGCAAGTCTAAACTCTGAACCCAGGAGAGTTTTAGAGGGTAGGGTCCTTGATGTCTGATGCCTGTGGCTGTGTCTTGGCGTTCTTGGGTCTTCTGCGCCTGGGTAGCCTGTTGGGGTGAGTGAGTCATAGATGTTGCTAACCTATGTCCTTGTCCCTTGGCTCTGCAGAGCTACCCTCCGCTTCTACCGTTCACTGGGATACCGGAGCCTCCAGAGACCCTAGCCGGGGCAGGGAGCCAGGGCTGGTGTGGCCGTGGCTATGAGGATTACCGGCGATCTGGACTACCGGCACCTCTCGCCCAGTCTACCTGCGTCGTGAGCTTCCCCAAGACTGGTGCATTGAGGGGTGCAGCCCTAGGACCCCCAGTATCCCTACCTACCCCTCTCACCGAAGCTGCACCCCCAGCACCTCCAGCTCGTCCACCCCCGGGCCCGGGCCCCACCCCTGCTCCAGCCAAGGCCTCCCCAGAGGCCGAGGAGGCAGCGCGCTGTGTGCACTGCAGAGCGCTCTTTCGTCGTCGTGCGGATGGCCGTGGAGGTCGCTGTGCGGAGGCCCCGGACCCAGGTCGCCTCCTGGTGCGCAGGCTCAGCTGCCTGTGGTGCGCTGAGAGCTTGCTCTACCATTGCCTGTCGGACGCTGAGGGCGACTTCTCGGACCCGTGCGCCTGCGAGCCGGGCCATCCGCGCCCTGCTGCGCGCTGGGCCGCGCTGGCCGCTCTCTCCCTGGCAGTGCCCTGCCTCTGCTGCTATGCGCCCTTGCGTGCGTGTCACTGGGTCGCAGCACGATGTGGCTGCGCAGGCTGCGGGGGTCGTCACGAGGAGGCTGCGCGGTGAGGACCGGGTGCTGGGTCCGGAAGGCTGAGGATCCAAACTGGAGGGTCCAGGATCCTGAACTCCTTGTGAACCTGAAACCCAAACCTAGGCACATCCGGAACTTGGAGCTAGAGTTTGGATTGAGAGATACCAGATCTGGTACCTGGACCGGAAACCTAGAACTGAGATCCCAGACCCAGCTTCATCAGGATGGCCGTCGAGGGGACCCAGGTGTCCTGAATTCTGGATTCTTTTTCCCTGTTCCTCACTGAGGAGACTACAGACATCTCCAAACTCTGTATCTCAGAGGGCCCAGGAGCACACACATCCCTGAGACTCAAGGAACTTGGACCCTGGCTTTGTCTAAATGCCCATCCCAGACCTGGGTCATATCTGACACCATAAACACTCTGATTCCATATCTCCCCCTACCCCTGAGTTAGTCAGGAGTTGCTAATACCTGACCCTTCCTAATCAAATGAGTCCCTAGGTCTTGAGACCAGGGGACCCAGAATCACCCCCAATATGGTCCTTGAATTTTCACCTACGACCTGGTGTACCCACATCTGGGATAGTCTCGTGGCCCCAGTCTACCCACTCCTGAGTATCCACAGATCTGACCTTCAGTTGATATCCAAGTGACTTCAGGTTTAAGATGCACCAAGCCCTTAGATATGATCAAAGATGAGGTGTTCTCCAACCAAAATGATTTGGAAAGCCCTTTCCAGAGCTTAGCAAGCTCCAGATAATAGACACCAAGATGCTCTGGGATCCAGGGTTCCAAGACCTCCTTAGACTCACCTGCCCCTCAAGCCACTGTTATTGGAAATATTGGGTCTTACATATGGGCTCTGAGGTGCCTAGGCCACCAGCACTTTGGGCCCAATATGCTGGTCTAAGTACTCGGATAGCCCTATTTCAGTTTCCCTTGGACCTGGATTTTAAGACCCAAAATGTTCTGGAATTTTTGGCTTCCTTCTACCCACATTCCCTGATCCCCTAAAGTCTGGGTAGGAGTCTAGCTCAGAAGATGGGGTAGTCATGGTAACCCAAGCCTCTCATCCCTTGGCCCCCAGCTCTTGAGCAACTCCAAGGTACTTTAAGAGCACTGGGTCTGAGACTCAAAGGTATCATTGACTCAGGTGCAGGATTCAAGCCCCCACAACCTTGGGCTTGTTCCAGACCCAAGACCTTGGTCCCTGCATACCAGAAACACTCAGATCTGAGATGCCCTAGGACCTTAGATTTCAGATTTCCTTGAATTCAATGCTGTTCTAGATTGATGAAGCCCCCAGATGCCTCTCACCGGATTCCACAGATCCTGCTTGTGCCACCTCCTTGGGGACTGTTGCCCTATGGATTCTGCCATCCATAGGCCCATGGAACCCAGAAGTCCCCATGATCCCGGGACTTACCCCTTTATCCCAGGGGGGCACTCGCACTAGTGAGAACTCAGATTTCTGGAAAACCAGCACCTCCCAGCAGCTCTGCTGTCCCACCTTTAGGGCCTGGCATGGCCACAGAGAATTGTGGAAGCTGACGGCTAATCAAAGGCAGGCAGCTGCATGAGTATGCACACCTGGACTCATGCCAATCTGCTGGTCAGGGTGGCCCATCAAAGGCAGGCCTGCCCTTCTCTGATTTGCACAACAGTACCTTTTGGGCTGACTATTGCCCTTTGGGAGTCCCTATCACCCCTCAACCTTGCAGACTCTTCTTCCAAGCCCATCCTGCCATTAACCTTTTCCATTTCAGTTGGGAGTTGCTTTAGAAAGCTCAAAGCCTGTTTCATGGCTCTATCCCCACATTTTTCTTCTGGAGAGGAGAGTGCCATGATCTTTTTGCCTCAAGGAGAAAGTGGTGTCCAGTGTACCTAAGATCTGGTGTCCTAGATTGGGGGATCAAGGTCTCAGAGCCAAGACATTCTCCCATATTTTGTGGGCTTGTGACTTGCATCTGGCCCTAAGTTCCTGGGCCTGTGCACTTACTTTCCTCATTACACAGCCTTGGGTGGCCTTGTGGAGGTTCAAGGGATCAATACTTGTGCCACTCCCTTTAAATTATTAACTATTGCATCCGGAACCTGTGAGATTCAGCTCTCCCAACCAGACCCTGGGATGGGTGAGAGAAAATGGGGAATGGGGGTGTCCCTCCCATCCCCACTTTGCCCAGCTCTCATCACTGTCAGACCCACCAGAGCTGAGGGCGGAGGGACTGGGGGCTGGGGCAGCCTGGGTCCCCATTCCCCTCTCTGTGCCTCGGTCTCCCCCCTTCTGTGGTGGGCGGGGGGAAGCTCCATTCTTAACCTACCTCGTTTTAAGGAGGGGTGGGATGGGGGACCAGAGTGCTGTACGGTGCTGTGAGATCTTCAGATTAAGCAGTGGGGACCGGGGAAGGTTCCCCAGTCCCCATCTCCCAGTACTGCCTCTCCCAGGTCCCCCAGCCCTGTTCCCTGCTGATACCCACCTCTGATCCATGATTACCTTTCATCACCCCCACATCCGGGGTGCTTGGAGGGCTGAACCCTGAGATCCAGGAAGACCTCAGATCCTGGAGCCCCCAGGCCCAATTTCCCAGCTGCTTGCCCCTAGATTGGATGCTTGGCCCCCAGATTAGGAGGAGGCGCCCCAACATTTATCTTCCTGATCTTGATTCCAAGCCAGTCTATGACCTCAACATCATCATTGTCAGTGCAGGCTGAAGTGGTAGGAGGATGGGGGCCAAAGACCCAGCCTTGTCATCAGGGGAGGGGGGCTTGAGATCTGCTCCAAGAAATGTCTGTGACAAAGTCTTAGTCTGTGTTCTTTATTTGTGTTGGTGCGCCCTGTCCACTTGCTTCCCTGAAGTGCCAGGTGTCAAGTATTCTACAATTCTTTCCCTCCACATTCTTTAGTCCCAAGCAGACCATCTGAGTTTTATACATCTAGTCATTCAACGAATCTATTTACTGAACACCTATCATGTGCTAAACCTGGCAGCTGGCACCACCAATGATAAATTGGACAACAAACATTTGAATAAAGCCCTGCAGAAGGTGAGGGGGTTCTGTTGGTGTGCAGAGGGTGCAGCCAGTGTGAGTTACTAAGGTTGGAGTGTACCTGGAAGAGTTTGAACAACAGTTGAGAACCATAGCGCCTGAAGGGGAGGAAGCAGGGAGAATTCTGGGAGAGGTGACAGGGCATCTGCTTGGCTTAGCAAGACACTGAATGGACTTTGTTACCTTGAGAGAGATGGGGCCACACAAAGGCACTATTCAGATGATCCCTGTAGCTATGTGGGAGGGGCACTCTGACAGAAGGCTTCTGTGATAGTCCCTCCAGAGGTAATGGACAGGACCAGGGTGAGGGTACTGTATGTGCCTATGAGGGAGGATATGGATGTTTTGAAAGAAGAGTCCATAGATTTTGATGCGGAGTTTGAAAGAATCAAGGCTGGGGATGTAGCTTAGTGGTAGAACAGGTGCTTAGCATAGGCAAGGGCCTATAGTTCAATCCCCAGCACCAAAGGAAAAACAGTATAAGGGAGGAGTTAAGGTTACTAGTCCAGGTTTGTGGACTGTTTTGGTTTTTTTTTTGGTCTTTTGGAGACAGGGTCTCCTCAGTAGTCCCAGCTGGCCTGAAACTCACTATGTAGATCAGGCTGGCCTTGAACTCATAGAGATCTGCCTGCTTCTGCCTCCTGAGAGCTGGAATTAAAGGCATGCGCCACCACGCCTAGCTCCAGAATAAGTTTTTTTATATTTTATTTTATGTGTATGAGTGTATTGCCTGCATGTATGTGTGTGCACCCGTGTCATGCAGTGCCGCGGAGGTCAGAAGAGGGCTTTGGTTTCCCCTGGAACTGGAGTTAAGGACGGTTCGTAGCTGCCATGTGGGTGCTGGGAATTGAACCTGGGTCCTCTGCAAGAGCAGTCAGTGCTCTTAACCGCTGAGACATCTCTCCAGCCCCCCAGAATAAGTTTTTAAAAATATTTATGTGTATGTATGTGGAAGTCAGAGGACAACTTGTGGGAGTCCATTCTCTCCTTTGGCCATGTGTATTCCAGGGATCAAAAAGGTTATCAGGCTTGGTGACAAGCACCCTCTACCACTTGAGCCATCTTGCAGGTCCTTTTTAAATTTTCTTAAAATTTTTTTATTCTTATAGGCTGGGTGTGGTGGCATACATCTTTAATCCCAGCACTTGGGAGGCAAAGGCAGGTGGATCTCTGTGAGTTTGAGGCCAGCCTGGTCTATATAGTGTGTTCCAAGCTAGCCAGGGCTACATAGACTCTGGCTCAAAAAAGAAAAAAAATTATTTCTTTTTCTTGTGTATGATATATATATATGGCCTGAGAAATTTTTTAAAATGTCTTATTTAGATCAACAAATTTCCTTGGGTCTGTCCTGCCTTAGAGCAGGGCAGGTGTAAGAGCAGAAAAGGCAAAGACACTCGGGAGTCTTGAGTCTCCCACATTACCTCCTCTCAGCAGAAAGAATAGTCGGGAAGAGATTACAATGATTTTATTGATTGACTGACTGGCTGAGACAGAGCCTCACTTTGTAGCAATCTTCCTGCTTCAGTCTCTAGCCTGCTGAGATGCAGGTGTAAGCTACCAGGCCTGTCTTCAGAACAATGATTTGTAATGCAAAACAGCAGCAGCAAGAGCAGCAGCAACAGAAATAGGGCCAGGGGTTAAAAAGGAATGGAACTGGGCTGGAGAGATGGCTCAGCGGTTAAGAGCACTGACTGCCCTTGCAGAGGACCTGGGTTCAATTCCCAGCACTCACACGGTGGCTACAAACTGTCCTTAACTCCAGTTCCAGGGGAATCTGAAGCCCTCTTCTGACCTCTGCGGCATTGCACGACA